GTCGCAGACGTGCAGTCACGAATCGCAGCATGATCGTCGTCACTCAAGCCACACGTCAATTTACGGCTCGCTTTCCGTCTCGTTTATCCCAATCCACTGCCTCTTTTCTTTACCTTGTCCGTCGGGCGTGTTTTTCCCTTCCATAACCGTTAGCACACCAAGGCTTCTGGCACAAGACTTAACCTCGAATGACCATCGTTGATACGTAGCCTTCGATAGAGCAGGCAATTTCATATATTCGTTCCCTTTTTCAATTTCGCTTCCCATTTCGATGGTAGAAAGAGAGAGAGAACAACGTACGAGACAATACTCTTTAGCTCACTTAAATTTACTGCTTTCCTTTGTGATTGCAACGTGCATCTAGTTCTATAACCTTTTGTAACGTGCACCTAGGCCCATAACCTGTTGCGATATTAGGATGGAATCGCAGTGAAAACAGCAGGTTATACACACAGTAAGATTTAATGAGTAAATAATTAGCGATTGAGTTACACACTGCACTTTATATTTATTGCGTGCTAACAAAAGACTTTTTCTGACTCGACTTGAGCGGTCGTGACGGAAGACACGAAAGAACTTAAAAGAGAATACACATGAGCAAAAAAAAAATCTCGCGACGCCGTCTTACAGAGACCTCTACAAACAAAACTCTTCGAATGACACCAGAGCGCTCTGATCTCAACAATATATATGATATATACTATTTTTCCAAACTTGTAAGTGTAATTGTAGTGTAATTTCCACTACTTCTAAATTTTTCAATTGCTTACTAACTTGAGGTATAATTTTATCCCAAGGAGTCTTTAATTCGTACAGTCCAAGTTAGAGAAAATACCAAATGGCCTCACTCTGTGGTGGATAATTTGCATGAAGTGCATGAATTGCCTTAAAACAAGCATCCACAGCAGTTCTACAATCATGAAAATGATAGTAGTTTTTGTCAATTACAACATAAAAATCTTGACAGTCAGCAGATGTCAACCCCACAGCAGCAATGAATGGTTGAACTTTATATTTCATAAGCTGTGCTTTTGAAATCATTCTTTCAATAGATGGTACTAAATCGTTGTTTACCTACGAAGAAAAAATTCATATCTTTTAAAAATTTTAAATATTTAAAAACATCAATTGTATTTATAGGATTAAATATTTATTAAGTAATAGAAATTACGAATTACAGTTTACTCATTGTCAAAGAAAATATTTACTTTTATATGAAGTAAAAATCCATCACATACTTCTTGAGTGTTAGGCTTCCATCTTTTTCCATTTTCCAATCGTACTACAGAAGGAGTAAAAAGCTTCCCCAGGCTAATGAATATATCAACATCATTTGGATCTATGAATAGAAACAATAACTTATTAATACTAATTTGTTATTGCAATTCGCTTTTAAATTTAGTTTAAATATTAACAAAATTTAAAATTTTCAGATTAATATTTTTCTCTCTAATGACAAAAAATAATATCACAAAATAAAATATGATATTTATATTAATTTATATGAGACATCACTAAAAACAATTTTTCAAAATATTTTCTTATGTTTAAGTATAATAAACCCATATCTTTTAATTTCATAAGCGTACATATTTTTTGCGAAAAAGAAGGCCATTTACTCCACATGTGCAAATCATGTTCCGGATATAACTTTTTAAAATCTGATAACAACTAGAATCAAAGCCATATATACATATTAAACATGGAACTAAAATAAATATATCTATTTAATTCATATATATGTTTTTAAAAATTATTATTACCAATATATAACCAGAACTTAGTTGAAGAACACTAAATTCATTTATGTAATCATAAATCGTGTACTAGTTCGTAGCATTTGAACTCTAATATCATAAGTTGCTTCCCATCTTTCTTTTACATCTTCAAAGGGTTCCTTATGAGTACGCAGCCATTCCAACTGGCCTGTAATATTTTCACTTACAACTGAAATTATTAAACGTATATGTATTTATAAAAAGAAACAACATGATTTCTTTTGTTATAAAACATTTTAAATAGAGAAGTAAAAATATACCTGAACTACTCTCATTTGTCTTATTTGTAACTTCAGTTGATCCATGAGTCAACCCATGAATTCGCAAACTTCTCAAATAATTTGTGTATCTGTCATACAGTTTACCTTTTGCATTTACTTTTTTATTAAACAACTTTTGGTAAGGAACATAATATGTTTCCTGAAAAAAAAATGTCAAGTTTAATCGAATATGTAGCATTAAGATAATTTATCTAGAAAATAAGAAAAGAATAATAATTATTAAAATATTTTTCCAATTACAAAAATTTTATAAAGACATACAAATTTAAAAGTATAAAAAAAAACCAAAATATTTAAATAACGAACTTACTTTAACTTCTCCTGGAATACATTCTTGTATTTGTTCAGCTAATTTTTGTAAACGCTGTTGCTGTATTCTAAAAATAAATATTAATAAATATGACAATTAGTTATAGACTAATTAACATACAGATATGGTTATACTTTATATAATTACCTCATTAAAGAATTGTTAGTCAATTCATATTTTACAATTGCTGCACAAAGCTTAGCTTTTGCTGCATCTTTCTTTTTCTCGTTTGGATCTATTAAAATATTGTACGCAGCTTTTGCATCCAAATCTTTTTCAGTGAGTTGAAGAATTTCCTAATTTCACAGAGACGAATTACTTGAAATTAGTAAGAAATTAATTATATTAAAAAATATTTAAAAATATTATGACAAATTAAAATAAATAAGGATGCACATTATTCATTCTTAAAAACAAATACTGAAATACTTAATAAAATATAAACACACATTTACCTTTTATAATTTTATAAATTTTTTAATCAATATTCAAATTTGTAATTAATATTATTATAAAATATTAAATATAATTACAATAATACTATTATACATATACAACCTTGGCCAAAATTATTTGTTACCTTATATTTTTTTAAATGTATTCACTAAAGAAATTTGAACAAAAATTAAAATATAAATTATCCTTTGTTTTAATTTTTAAATCTGTGTACCAATATTCACAATATATATATCATAATACCAATAATCAATAGAAAATAAGATGAAAGAATTCCAGATAAATTAAAAAAATATAGGTGCCTAATAATTTTGGCCAAGCTTGTAACGAGATCAATCTAATCAAAAACTGAAAAATTTTTTCTACTTTATTTTATTTTTTTGTTAATATTTCTCAAATATATATTTGTCATATTTACATTTACTGTTTGTTGTTGTTGGTCACGTACTGATGTAGCTTTAGGCTGAATAAATTCTTCTTGTGCATTGCTGCAAGAAGGAACATTTTCGATATTATCGCAGTCAGAGTTTATAGGTAGAGAGTAATCCGATGACTCAATTTCCTTAATGTTAGAAATAGCAATAGCCTCAATCTTATTTTCATCAAAAGATAATGTTTGTGGAATAAAAGTAACCTAAGAAAAATGTTAAAAGTACAAAAATAATTTATTATGTTTTATCTCCCAAATAAAAATGTTTGTTAAAATGTCATATGTAAAATTACATTTAATTACGTAATTTTTATATAACACTCGATAACTGTACAGATTTTAAAATAAAAATATAATATAAAATAAATATAATTTATAAAAATAAAGAAATACACATGATCTTATTTTTAAAAATATTTTAGTGCTTACCTCAAGTTCTGCAAGCTTATGAGCTTCAAGTTTTTTACAAAATTTTACTCTAGGACCTGCTTTAGGAAAAAGTTGCAACAAATCTTTTGCTTCCAAACAAATAAGCCCTTCGTAATCTACATCTTCTTCTAAAAAAAAAAAGTAAAAACTTCCACATATAATATCGTAAATTATTTTTATGCTTTTGTAGATATTAAATAATTTAATAATAAAAGATAGCTTAATAAGATATTTATAAAAACCGATGTGATAACCATGGCACGTGCATTATTAAAAATGTCATGAGCTTATATAAAGAAAAAGTATGAACAAAGTCTCCTTCTTTGCTTTGTAATAAAAATAAAATAAAAGTTCTATGTTTTTATTCTATTAAAAATAATGCATCAAACTTAAGAAAAAGGAAAAAAGATGATAAAAATATTTTTAGAATAATCTACAAGTTTAAAAGTATATGAAATATATTTATAACCTATATGTGTTAGGCGATAATTACAAAACAATAACTATAGAAATTCAATATTAATAAATCTTACATTACAAACCTTTAAAAACTTCTATATATTTTTCAAAATTCTATTGACGAAAAAGAGAACAAGTTCTCTCATCAGCCATATCACTTTAACTTCTATTTCTTCTTTGAAAGTGATAATTCGACCTCTGGATGGATTTTTAATGAAAGTTCAACACAGCCAGTGGTCACAATTACAGCTTTCACTTCACTTACTAAAGATATTATACCGCACACGATCTATACGCATTACGCCGTACCATGACACGCACGAACATGTAAAAACAAGAGCATGTATCCCCGACTCATGCTATACCCAAACTGGCAAACTGCTAGCGCCACAGCAGGGCGCTGCAGTTAATCAGAATTCTAGTTATAATGTGTATGTCTAGTAATTATAACAAGACATTTTGTAAATCTAATAGAAAAATACTAATCAAATCCTTATAGTAAAATCAATCAAACGGTCTAGTTATAAAATATCCAGTTTAATTATAGTAATCAGGAACTCTGCTTTGTTTCACAAAAATGCATTTAATCATATACGTCTTATTGATACAAACAAACCATTTTTCTCAGTGTAAAGAACAGATTTAGATGCAGCGACCAAAATATCCAAAAATTAAGACTATTTTTTTGTTTTTAATCCATCATACTAATTCCGCCAATTTGGATTTAATTACATTTTGGAAATTTTGATCTCACAATCAGATTAGGATTCAGTAATCCAAAAAACTCGTAGAATATCATTATAAGAAATATTTAAACTATTTATTTAAATTTACAAGGAAATATCGATTTTTCCATAATAATTTTTTAAAAATTTGTAATAAAAGACCAACATAATGAAAAAATTTGAAATAATTCTGAGAAATAAATTTCATATTGTCGTTACGTAATAAAAAATTAAAATGCACATATATACAAATGGTGCACGTGTCTAGCGTCGCCCGTAATTATTTGCTCACGCTAAATTTTTCTCGAAAGTATTCACAAAAGCTATTTTATGCGTAAGCTTTGTGTCGCATCGTGAAAAGGATGAAAATACCTCAACCTACAATCCTATTAAGTTATCAGTTTACAGACAATTTTCGGAATTTGGAAATTGAATTCTTGTCTACAACGCCCGAGCAGCGGACGCAGAAGACACGTGCACAATAATATTTTTTAAAAAAGAAATTATTATTTATGAATTATTTATTAATTATAAAGAAATTATTTTTTTCTTACTTGCTTCTCCACGTATAATCACAGCATATTCTGGCCACAATTCTGGAGGATTGTCAACTTTTGATATTAACATATCTTTAAGAAGTAATTCATCTTCATGGTTATCAAATGGGGGGAGTATATATCTTGTTGCAAGTGCTTGCAATGATTTCGAAAAATAAATCCAGGCTGATGGAACAGCAACGATATGATTTTCATTTATAGATTTGTGACATTCTTTGGTGCAATTAATTTGTACAAGCATGTAATGCATGTTTTTCCCTCAGTTTTCTGTATGAGATTTATTATATTACGCAAATATAGAGAGTTACGATTATAGATTTAAATTATACAAACAAGTACAACTTTATTTTTCTTCAATAATTTTTAATATTACAAGTATAATGATAAAATATTACATACTTGCTAAATATTTAAAATACTATAAGAGATTACTTACCTTAATGCGAACGCGAAAACAGAAATAACTGAACAAGTCTTTATCATTTCAAAAATCGGAATTTTATTTCAGGTGATGGAATTACACTGAATTCGTTTGTGAATTTTATTTTAGGTAGGCTGTGGAATTGTGTTGTAAATGTCTTATATATTGGAGCCGATTTTATAAGGTTAGATTAGAGAACGGCAAGTTTTTGCCCGTACATAGACATTCACAAAAAGACTTTTGTTTATAACAAAAAATGTAAGCGGCTTCGCGACCGATATCATGCTCGAAAATGTTTATTTAATTCAGTAGGCATTGAAAACAAAATCGCGATGAAAAAGGCGTCTCACAAAATGTCACGTAAGTATTATACAGATTTTAAATATACATTTCAGATTTTTTTAACAGTAAAATCTGATTAATTTTGTAATAATAAGTGAGGGGATATTAGCTCCGTTTGCGGTAGAGAGTGTGTGAGAGAGAGCGAGCTGCTCTTGCCAACGGTGATCTTCCTTTCTTATTGTTCTACGTTGTTCGCTATTGCGATGTTCGTTTTCCGTTTGCTAGGTGTGCGTTTTTCGTTCGCGCAGGAATGGTGGTTGCCGGAAATGAAGTGACGTTTTTCTTTTTCTATTTACACAGTATTTGTCAAGAGCTTATTTACAGGATGTATGTACAGTAGATCTTATGTGTTATTGTTCTTTTGTGGCCCTAAGAAGGGTCGATTGTTCGTAGCGGCCTAGGCCGGAGGCTTACGCGGGGCCCCACGCTATATGCGACTGCGTGAGCGTGAAGCTCCACGGTCGTTCTTCGTTGGGAGTCTGCGTCGCCTTATCGTAATCGTAGACCTCCTTCGTCTGCACCGATGTCGACCTCCGTTCGGGTGTTTGAACGGTCTGCGTCGCCTTGTCAGCTGTGCTGGACTGCCTCGTGTCGGGATCCGCAGGTAGCGGCTGGATGAGGGCCGGTACCGCCAGGGCCTGTAGGACCGTTTCAGGCG